TTAAATAATTCCTCTCCCTCCCTGGTATTTATCCCTCTGATATATTTATAGAGAGCAATCATATCTCCCCTCAGCCTTCTTTTGGTTAGGCTAAACAAGCCAAGCTCTTTGAGTCTCCTTTCATAAGACCGGTTTTCCATTCCTCGGATCATCCTAGTAGCCCTTCTCTGTACCTGTTCCAGTTTGAATTCCCAGCATTATTGAACTGTGTGTCACACTGAAGCCTAGAATATTGAGTCAGTGTGAAGTGATGGAGACAGCTACAATCAGGGGCTCTTTTGGTTCAGAATATCACTAGGGTCAGTTGTCACTGGGCTTAATGATCTGGTACTGTCACAGTTTTTAAGTTCTCAGCCGTTTTGACTTCAGGAATTCCACCCTTGTGACAGCAAGGCATGCATCTATGCCATGCCAAGGTCCTAGACAATTGTGATAGCAGAGGGAACTCAACGAATCACCACCATTACTCTACCACTCATTTGAATGCAACAATTTCATTGGTTGTATGAGAGACTGCACAGATGGTGGATTCTTGTCCCAACTACTACCTGCACAAATCAACACAAACCTCCCAGCACAACCCACCTTGACACAAAGGAATTCAACAATATACCCAGCACACACAATGATCTCAAACACAGATAGCTCTTATAGCAGCCCCCACCATCACCATTCACAACCCACCCAGATCTACTCCATTCTCCAGCAGTACAACACAAGTCACCACCACCTACCCAGCAACAACACCCCTTAGAGCAGGGGTGGGCAAACTGTGGCCTGGGAGCTGCATCTGGCCCTTCAGATGTTTTAATCCGCCCCTCAAACTCCCACCAGGAGCAGGGTCCGGGGCTTGTCCCACTCCAGCCAGGGAGCAGGGTCAGGGGTTGGCCCTGCTGTGCGCGTGCTGTGGCTCCACACAGCTCCTGGAAGCAATGGCATGTCCCCCCTCCGGCTCCTACGCGTAGGGGCAGCTAGGAGGCTCCGCATACTGCCCCCTGCCCCAAGTGTAGCTCCCACAGCTTCCATTGGCTGGGAACTATGGCCAATGGGAGCTGCAGGGGTGGCTCCTGCAGACAGGGCAACACGCAGAGCTGCCTGGCTGCACCTCTGCATAGGAGCCGGAGGGGGGGCATGCTGCTGCTTCTGGGAGCTGCTTGAGGTAAGTGCTGCCCGGAGCCTGCCCACCTCCCAGGTCCCAACTCCCTGCCCCAGCCCTGATCCCTCTCCTGCCCT